AGCACAGTAAGTAATTTGATGCCACGGCTGCAAACACCCATAAAACCATGCCTGTGTGAATGTACCCAATTAATTGTCTTGGCAGCAACTGGGCACATGATACCTGAGGGTCAAGATGGCTGCACCCACTGCCCAGTGTGTGTGGTGGAGGTAAACAGGTTTGTCCTTGTCTCTGCTGAATATTTCACTTCAACGATCACTGTATTCGTGTTTACTGGGATGCGAATAAGGAATGTCATAAACAAAAATGTGATAGCTCTTTCTTCGTAACAGCGTTAGTCAAAAAGGGTATCAATCAAAATGTAGCAGCACTTTATCCATTAAATGTGAAATATTACAGGGTAAACAACAATTTCATTTATGCAACATAGAAATAAATAAGCAGCATGTCACTAAGACAGACTAAAATCTAGTAAGGCATATTGATTAAAATTAAGATGCCTTATTGATTTGTTTAGATAATTAGTATTGATGATTTAAATGACCGAAGGTACCCAGCATAATGAAAAATAAGGTAAAATTAAATGTAACAATAAAAATATATACCGGACAATGAATGGTCATGAAATAATTGTCAATTTAATGCGAAAACTCTAATTTTCAAATCAGTGAAAACATGAGCTAGTGAGACTAAACGTGAATGGAAATCTGTAATGTAGACAATTGCACTGTAAGCGGTATTTACTAATTAATAGGACACTTCATTCGCCCATGCTGTAGGAATGCATCTATCGAAGCAACATCCCATCCTGATTATTTATTTTGCGTGATGTTAGATGCATGGGTTTTGCAAACGTTCATAAAACGGCGCAACTCAACTTCATCTTTCAAGTTATTTACTAAAAAGAGGATTCAAGGTGAATTAAATTGAATTTAACTTTAAGGCCAGAGTAGCCAAATTGAAATCTCAGCTGACTTAAAGAATTTTCCCAGTTCGGCTACTTTGACTTTGATTTCGAAATTCGCTTTGAATTCTTACTTTATTGAATAACCCTGTTTGCCTCCCAGTTCAGCGTGAAAGGATGAAGACAATATGAAATAAAACTACAGCTGGACCCTTCCTATGGAACTATATGGGATAAAAGGAGATGTACAACACTGGAGATAAGACTGCCTTATTGATAGAGTGACTAGGTAGGACTGAATTAGCAACACTTAGTCTAAAATAGCTAATTTAGAAAAATTATCCGGCAAACGTATAGTCACAGCTTGACTATTTTTGACTAGATTTACTTGACTAAAACTGGATGTTTATTGAGCAACACTCAACTGTACAAGATGCAAATATTGTGGTTCATTCAAACTAAACTATAATAATTGAAACCGGGTTTCAATTATTAAAATACTTAAGCAGGGTTGAAGAATTTTTCCAAACAGGCCTTTTTTGCTTACATTTTGCAATTTGTTTTTTAATTCACTATAACTAGAAAATATGTGGTTAGGCGACTTTATTCATATTATTAATTTTTTTATTTTTATATTTGCTCAATACAGTGTCTGTTTAAATGAGGTTATGAAACTGTGATTACCAAAATATTTTAGGGGTAATTGTTTAATACTGAAACAGTTGCAAAACATTACTTTCTAGTCTAGCACAAGAACCCAGCAAGTTGAATTAATTTAATTACAAACTATCAAATACCACAGGAGTTTTCACTGATTGAACAAAAGAATCGGGTTCATTAAGTTTCCCAAATTCACTTAGTTTTCAATTTAAAAAAAAGAGAAAATAACTCCATTGACGGCATTTAATACATTTGTATTTAAAAAATGCACATCAAACATGTGTTTCTCGTGTACTGTTTTCTTAGTGTCATCTTAAATTAATGCTGATTTATTTACTGGGATTTTCATTTATTTATTTATTTATTTTTACAGATTAATTGTCACAATGTTACTTAAAAACCAAGCAGAGGTTTATACACAAATTGACTGAAACAAGTAATGGATGCCACCATTTTGAATAATTAATACTTACATTGTACACTCTCCTTTTTCACACTTTCCTTTTTCCCTTGATACATGTCCTTACAAGCCACATCAACCTAGGTCATTATTCCAAGATGAAACCATTTCAGAAGTCACTGTGAGAGTGTGCTCATCTAATTAGCCAGAAATTAGTTTAATAGGGGCTTGTTTCATGAGTAATATTGATATATTTTTTTTATTTGTTGGTTTTTACAAATACTCTCATTACTGTGTAAAATACTTTTTTTTTGTTATTTGTAAATGCAAACTGACAGTCAGCTTCAAACATGTGTACTTCAAATGTGTTATATGTTAATTTTGACCCATTAGCAAACTGAAGCATGATCCCAACATAATGAATACTATGGTTATGTTTAAGGCTGCTGTTTGTATGTTTGTTTATCGTTTTATTTCTTTATTTTCATTTTAACGATATTGAGGGCATCGAATAAAAATAAAAAAATTCAAAAAACATACAATATACAGTAAAATATAGTTTATTCAAAAACGCTTTTATTACAAATATTAATAAATATTTTAATCGATGCAGATAATATTTTGCTTGATTAAAACAAATTATAAGTTGTATATATAAATTCACAAGAATCCATAATAGCACAGTTAGCTCCTCTCTGTGACTTGTTTACTTTCGGTTTAAAATTGACACACAACTGCCCAAATTGAAAAAATAAATCACTATTTAGTGTTAGTCCAATTGATCACTATGTTTTGGACAAAATTTGTCCAATAATTTTGGTTTCGAATTTACATTTGAGTTAATGGAATGCAGTGATTGCTGTCAAATCTTTGTTTGGTTTAAAAAATAGATACATCTCTAATTTGGCATTATCACATTTAAGGGTATTATATTAAGGAGGTAGCTGTCTTTAGTAGATAGCTCTCAATTTTGTAGACATGTGCAATTCGTTTCGGGCAATTTGGACATTCGGGTACTTCCGAATGTCCGTATAGATGAATTGCCGAAGTCCCGAAGTTCAGAAATTACCGAATTTCTGAAGTGTCGAAGTGCCGAAGTTCCGAAGTGCCGAAGTTGCTGAAGTTCAGAATTATCGAAGTGCTGAAGTGCCGAAGTTCCGAAGCACAGTATTGCCTAAGAACTAATATACTAACCCAGTGGAAGAATGAAGAATGTTACCCTGTATACAATTTTAAATAAAAAGTATACAAACATAGCCAGGATTCAGCTGTAAGCATTTGCAACACTTACAACAATCAAGTAACACACATTCATATAAAATGTAAGTTACTTAACCAGTCAATGTAATGACAGGAATGAAAAGGTAGACAACTCCCTAATTCCCACGGTTTTAGGGAGCTATCTACTAGAAGGCTGAAAGACCTAAATCCATAATAACCGACACACTTAAAAAAAAAAAAAAAATTTAAAATCCACCAATCAGAGTGCTCTGTGTCATTTTACACAGCGTGGGAAAGTTCCTCCCCCCTAATTGGTGTTTAGGGCCCCCACCCACCGCTCAGTGGTGGGGGCCAGAGGGGAGGACATTAGGTCCCCCTCCTTATCATAATTTAGGGCCCCCACCCACCGCTCAGGAGTGGGGGCCAGGGGGGAGGACATTAGGTCCCCCCCCTTATTTAGGGGGGGACCTAATCCCACCCACCTCTCAGGGGTCAGGGCCAGGGGGGAGGACAATAAGTCGCCCCCCTTATTCTGATTTATGGGCCCCCACCCACCGCTCAGGGGTGGGGGCTTGGGGGAGGACAATAGGTGTCCCCCCATTATTTTACTTTAGGGGCCCCGCACACGCCGCTCAGGGGTGGGGGCGAGGGGGGAGGACAATAGGTGTCCCCCCTTTTTGTACTTTAGGACCCCACCCGCCGCTCAGGGGTGGTGGCCTGGGGGGGCAATAGGTTGCGGGTGGGGGGTTGGGAGGGGGGACAGGCTGCTCACTGTTTAATAGACAGGCCCCTACTCGCGGTATAGCGAGTAGGGGCAAAATTTACTAATACTAAGTAATTTTTATATAAGAAATGCCTTTGTGCTCATTAAACCAGTTCTACTTCACCCTCAATTTAGAGTTATGTCTCTTATTGTGGGAAACAGCTACAAGGGATTGCTATGCTCTTCATACTCCCTTGGATAATCACTAAGCTCTTTTAAAAGTTTGTTCCTGCTTCACTCTTTGGGGAAAGAGAGGTTTACCCAGTGGAACCTGGAGCCTTGTCGTAGGTGCAGGGTGTGTAGGAGACAGCGAGACCACAACCAAACTGCGGCTGTTCGTGGGGTCTGCGGTGGTTATGGTCTCTGGTGGAGTGCTTGGAGCCCTCAGGAAGCACTAGGAACATCCTTCAACGGAGGTACCCAGTCGGGTGCCAGGTGATCCGTTACAAACTCTTTCAATGATCTGATGTTAGTCAATCTCACATTAACTCTTTCAGTAATGGAATGATAGTTAATCTCATCTTATAGGGGTATATCTAAAAAAAGCGCCATTGTTCTAGCCACACCCATTTTGTATTTTTTATTTATTCTTGTATATACTCCTTGTTGGTTATGGAGGCAGCTATCACTATGACACTGTTTGAAAAAAAGGAAAACCTATTGCACTAATATTGATGATGTGTTTGGGACATCTTCCATGATTTCCAGCTCCCAAAATCAGGAAACTAATTGTAACATCTATGAATGCCCCCAAAAAATTGACCAAAGTAATGAATCAGGAAATACGTATAGTATGGGAGGTAGCAACCCTGGAAAAATATGTTAAGGAAAAAATTACTCCCAGGGGGCTAAGATATAACAAATACCCCACTTTTGACAAGGGAGAGGAGGATTTCATGGAAGAATGGAATGAGATGTTGGAATCCTTCTCATTCACAACGATTAATATTATTATTAAAAGAAGGAAACACACCCTTAAAAAACTAGATCAGTTTTGTATCTTTTTTTAATTTTTTTATTTAAAGACTTTTATTGTTTATATAAAAGGAAATCACAGAAATATACAGTATTACAAGAAGTTGAATCGCAATTCTCACAGATAGTCCGGGTCCAGCATTGAAGGGGACCCACACAGGGGTCGCAACATATTATACATCATTATATAACATTTAGAAGTCATTGTGGTAGACTGGTAAACTGGTAAACTGCCAGGCAGCTACTGCCAAAGGGGGTTGTGTATTGTTCATAAAAGTAGATGTAGTGATGACCTGGGGGGGATGGCCGAGTCGGCAAGCGATGCCCGGGTAACTAGTGTTGGCGTCACTTTGCAACATTGTGTTGGTTAACATACCATCTAGTATATCATGAACCATGGGCATTGTATTCTCCAGTATAGTGGTGGGCTTTGTGTAGTAGCCCTATCAGTATGGCGTCCGTATAGGTTTCACCTCCTTTCCGAACTGAGTTATGTGAGCTCGGGGAGTTTGAAGTGTCTTGTATTACCTTAGGTTAACTTTGTTGTCAGAGGTTGCCTGCTGTTTAAGGATAGCATGGGTAGATTCAAGGTTGACAATTTGGGTGGATCATGGGTAGGTTCCTGGTCAGTAGGGGTCAAGTGAGTACCTCAGTGGGGGTGTCTAGCTTATGGGCTGGCTGTAGGCCTCTTGAGTCAGGGATAGATTAGTAGTGGGCGAGAGGTATCGGCTCTTTGTGTTATGCAGCTAGTGGCTACCCGAGTCTATCTGTGAGTTAAGAGTCTGTAAGTTATATCGCAAAGAGGGTTGTGTCGCAAAAAGAGGAAAAGGGGCGGGGAACCGAGAGGAGATCCAGTGATCCAGTGGAGATCACAGTGGGTGGTTAGGCATTTAGCCTTTTAACTGTCTTGTGGCCTTGTGGTTAGAGGAGGAGTTCTAGGTTGAGATGACGGGGGCAGTGTGAGGTTTTAACAAGAATCTTGTCCACGGTTCCCATATCTCTTCGAAGAGGGACAGTTTGTGTGTAACAGAGGCCTGTATGTTTTCCATTATTTTGAGCGTGTCCACTTTGTGAATCCATTCTCTGATCGTGGGTGTATTGGGATTTTTCAATTTTGCCGGAATGAGGGTGTTGGCTGCTGTAAGGAGATGGGTTACAAGTCGTTTTTGCGTGTTGGTGAGGGTGCAGGGTAGCAACAGGAATAGCAGAGTGTGTGGGGTATGGGGAAGTTTTATTCCTGTTACCGTCTTAATCATTGTTCCTATGTTTGTCCAGTATCTTTGGGTTTGAGGGCAATGCCACCAGATGTGGACCAAGGAAGCTCCTGGTTTGGCACATTTCCAGCAAACATCTGGGGTGTTGGGGAATAACGCATGTAATTGTGCTGTCGTGAATTGTGTGTTAAGGTCCTTGGTCCATGAGGCGGTGAATTAAGGTGGGTGGGCCGCGTGTTCTGTCTGGATCATTTTATAGAAAGTCGAGAGTTGCTTAGTTTTAATGCTCCGGGTTTTGCAATGTGTTTCGAAATCAGAGAGGGGTCTGGTTCCCCTGAGGAATCGTGCGTCTGTCTTTAGGAAGTGATGTAGTTGTGTGTAGTGAAATGTTTGCATTGTAGATGGAGCAGTCGAGTGTATGAGGTCTGATATCGGGCGAAGTGAGTCAACAACTAGAGTGGATCCCAGAGTAAGGTATGTCTGGTCATAGGTATCTCGGAAGCTTCGGTAGTTTGCGGCAATCAGTCCCGGTTGGAAGTGTGGGTTGTGGGTGATTGGGTATAGTGGGTATGGGTGTGGGGATACGTTGATGATTTCACGCAGTCTATCCCATGTCTTGAGTGTTGGGGGTATCGTGGGGTGTGTGTCATTGTCGAGGACCACTCATATACTCTTGTTAGCATCGTGGCCTTGTAGTATTTTTCCATGTGGGGCAACCCCAGGCCTCCACAGGACTTGTGTCTGGTAAGCACTTCGTATGAGAGCCTGGGTTGCTTGTGCGCCCAGATGAATGAGGTAAAGAGACTCCGCAGCTTGGCAAAGAATGCTTTGGGTATGGCTATAGGTAGGGTTTGAAATAGGTACAGTATTTTTGGCAGTGTGCTCATTTTGAGGATGTTTATTTTACAGAGCCAGGAGAAGTGTGGCTTTTGCCATGCCTGTAGGTCTTTGGAGATAGATTGGTATATTGACTCATAGTTCAGATCGTAGGTGGACGTTATGTTGGCTGAGAGGTGGACACCAAGGTATTGAATGGACTTGTCCGCCCACGTGAAGGGGAATTTGGATTTGAGGCGTGTACGCGTCTGAAGGGTCATTGTCAATGGTAATATTTCACTTTTAGAAAAATTAACCTGAAATTCGAGAGTGCATTGTAAATGGAAAGTTCTTACATTCAAGGGAGGTATTGATGAGTCGGGCGCTTGGATGGTAAAGAGAAGGTCATCAGCGAAGGCAGAGACCTTGTATTCCTCTTGTTGGACCGATATGCCCTGTATGTTTGAGTTGTCTCTAATCCCATTCAGAAAGGGCTCTAGGATAAGGATAAAGAGGAGCGGGGACAGCAGGTAGCCCTGTCTCATCCCGTTCCTTATATAGACTGGTTCTGACAGTTGGCCGTTAATTCGGAGTCGAGCAGTAGGAGAGGAATACAGAGCTTGGATCCAGCATATCCAACAAGGACCAAGGACCAGTGCTCTCAGTGTGGAAATTAGTAGCATCCAATCTACGCGATCAAACGCTTTTTCTGCGTCAATGGATAGTATGAGGCTATCGATCGGTCTATGTTTTGCAATGTGAATTAGGTTTAGGAGTTTTGTGGTGTTGTACTTAGCTTCTCCATTCGGGAAGAATCCGGCCTGGTCGGGGTGAATTAAAGTTTGCAATACGGGGCGCAGGCGGTTTGCCAGGATCTTTGTGAATAGTTTGAGATCGAGATTGATCAGGGATATCGGGCGGTAGCTGCCACAGTTGGTCAGGTCTTTCCCTGGTTTGGGAATAATGGTTATGTGGGCTTCAAGGGATGCAGTATGTGTAAGGGAGTTAAAGGCTAGCAAGAATGGTTCCGTCAGTTCCGACATGAAAGTTTTGTAATATTTGGCGGAGAACCCGTCTGGGCCTGGGCTTTTCCCTATCTTAAGTTGTTTTATGGCAAAGTGGACTTCTTCAGAGGAGATCAGGGCGTCTAGGGTGGTCCCTATGTTCTTGGGTATCGTTTGGAAGATCCTGGTTGCTAGGAAGCTTTCTATGTCCTGTTCTGAGGGGGGAGAGTTCCTGAGATTGTAGTTTGGTGTAGAAGTCATGAAAGGAGGTCATGATGTCTGGGAGTTTGTATGATAGTGAACCTGAGGTAGTCTTGATTTTAGATATAAAGGATGATTGTCTTTGTTGTTTCAGTGTGTTAGCCAGTAAATGGCCGCATTTGCTTACTTTAGAGTAATATGAGTGTTTTGTACGTAGGATAGTGTGTTTGATATTGTTGTTTAAGATGTCTTGTAGTGCAGATCTCTTGGCTATCAGTTCCATGTAGGTGCTCAGTCTCGTGTCCTGTTTGTGTTTATTTTCATGGTCTCTAATTTCTCTTTGAAGGGTTTGGAGGTCAGCTTCTCTTAATTTCTTTTGTCTGTACGCCAGCGCGATCAGCTCTCCCCTCATTACACATTTGTGTGCCTCCCATGTAATCGGGGGGGGGGCTATCGGGAGTTGTGTTTGTAGCGAAGTAGGTATGGAGGGATTATGTTATGTGGGAAACTACCTCTGGATTATTTAGGAGAAGATCATTTAGTTTCCATTGGAATGATTTGTGTGGTAGAGTGGGGATTTGTATGTCTAGGGATAGGGGTGCGTGGTCTGACCATGTTATTGAGCCGTAGCTGCTGGTTTGGATAAGGTGTAGGAATCTATGTGGGACAAAGAACATGTCCAGTCTGGAATATACGTGAGATACGTGTGAATAATATGAATAGTCTTTATCAGTTGGGTGGGAAGTGTGCCAGCCGTCATACAGTTGGGCTTGATCCAGTTGTTTTGTCATTTGCTGGCGTGCTGATTTCTGATATCCTGTTGCTTGGGAGGTTGTGTCTAGGAGTGAATCTAGTGATAAGTTGAAGTCATCTCCAAACAACAGGATGCCCTCCACAAATTGTTCAATGATTTCGAGGTGTCTTCTGAGTGTCTTACATTGGCGCCTGTTGGGGAGATATATGTTTGCAAAGGTGACTATGGTTTGGCCTATCTGTCCTTTGACTAACAGCAATCTGCGTCATCAGTCTTGTGAGATGAGTATAGGAAGGGCAAATGTGATGAAATTAGTATTGCTACCCCTATGGTTTTGGTTTTGGTGAAGTTGCTAAAGTAGCCGGTTGGGTAGTGTCTATTCCTTAGTGTCGGTGCTTCTGGGTGTTTAAAGTGTGTTTCTTGGAGGAAGGCAACATCTGCCTTTAGCTTGTGTATTTCCTTTATTGTCAGGGATCTTTTTTTGGGTGTGTTGAGACTCCTAACATTGAGAGTGACAATCTTTATCGTGGCCATCTGGGGGGGGGGGAGGGGTGAGGGCAAGGTTCCTCTCGGTCTTCCCCACCCAGGGAGAGGGGGAAAGGATTGTAGGGGTTGGGTGAGGGATGGAGCGGGGTAGGGAGAAGAGAAGTGTAGAACGAAGAACTATACACAGAGGGATATGCTGCCTAGTGTTTCTGTTGTCAGCAGCAGTGGGTGTGGGTTATTTGGGGGTATCCTTAGGTGGTTTACCCTGGGTGGGAGTTTTAGGCCACCTGGGTAACTGGTGTGCACCTGGGATAAGTCACCTGGACCGTAAGGTTGAGTCAATGAGTGTGCCTCGGTGGCGCGTAATTGTGCAGTGCGGACTGTAGCTCCCCAGGTATGAGGATAGATAGTGTGTTACGAGGAAATGTGGCTTCCAAAAAGCCAATCAAGATTGTTTAGTTTGGAGTGGTTAGAGGATGGGCAGTAGTTGTGTAGGGGGACTATTTAAAGTATGGCCCGTGGTCGGCAGCGAGCGTCTGTGAGTGTAACAATGGCTTTTCATAGAAAATCACATCATAACAATTATTTAAGACAATCATCACGCAAAACAGTAAACATGCATAATAACATTGACGTGTCAAATCAGAGTAGCTGCTGATACCTATATCTCCTTTTGTGGGTCAAGGGTGGGGGGGGGGTTGCCTTTCGTGTCAGAAGGGCGAGGGGTGAGGGTGGGGGGGGGGTGGGAATAGGTGTGGGATTGTAGTCCGCCAGGTGAGTGGGGTCGTGGTGGAATTCTCTGTCTAGGGTAGTTCTGCATTATAGAGCACCACAAGGTAGTGTAAGTGTGGCAGTCAAATTCTGTGTAGGGGGGGTACATATAGGAGGGGGGGCTCATGTGGGTGGAGGTCATCCCGGCTGGGGGGAGTGTTGATTAAGACTGGTAGTCGTTATGGTCCGCGATCTTCGGGCGGGTGGGGGGGTGGGGGGTTGGAGGTTTGAGGGAACAGTCTGTCATGTTAAGTTAATGTATTGTGGAGACCTTTATGTGGGTATATCTTATGTAGGGGAGTACAGTTGGGTTTAGAGCATCAATACAATAAAATACATGACATATCCTAATACAACTGACTGTGTAGAAGCCCACTCCGGATGTCAGAGTTTGTAAAGCCCGTTGGCCCATGTTCCATCTCCCTTCCGCGTCTGCGGGTGGTATGGTCCTATTGGGATTGGAAGGCTTTAGTTGCCTTTTCGGGTCGTAAGGGCCAGGGGTAGAGTCCACCAGGTAGAACTTTTTTTTTTTCCTGGGTTGCAGTGGGGTGGACGGTTACAGGGAGGCATGGGGATCTGGGATGTGGAGTGGGACAGACCGAGGTAAGAGTCTAGGGCAGTCTTGGTGTGTTTCAATCCCCAACCCCAAAGTGCATGATACTTGATTGACCGGAGATCTGGTTCGAAGCTAGTCATTGTGACAGGAAGATATCTTTCAATGCGGTCGGTGGTAACGAGTGCAGTAGGCATGATGTACAGCGGTCGTTAGCGTGCGTCTTCGTGGTACGATGTGCAGGTAGTGTCAGCGGCCAGAAGGGAGAGGATAAGGTTCCGTTATAATGGTAGGTAAGGCAGGATCAGTCCCTCACGGTGAGGTGTTAATGCAGTTGGCATCTCTTCTGTGGTATGAAGCTGGGGTTTCATGCCGTGTCATTGGTCGTGTCTTCCAGGGGACCCGGTCGTCATTTTCTAGGGGTCTGTTGCCAGCGATTGCGTTGCGGCAGCCTCTGGGGCGCGTTAGGTGGCGGAATAGGGCCATACCAATCTGGTATGCGGGTCTCTGACAGGTCCATCGTTCTCAGGAACGCTGGAACATCTTGGGGGTGTGCGATGGTATAGGCGGCGCCTTGGTATGTGGCCGTCAGAGCAAAGGGAAAGCCCCATCGGTATCGGAGATTCCTGGCGCGTAGTTGGTCTGTAATGGATCTCATCGCCCTGCGGGCTTGCAGTGTCATCCATGACAGGTCTGGGTAAATGGCAACAGGGGAGCCTCGATAGAGAAGGGGTTGTGAATGTCTCAGTGCCTCCAGTATCTTGTTTTTGCATTCAAAATAATTGAGCCCACATACCACATCGCGTGGGTTTTCAGTGGCCCCGTTGCGCAGGCGCAGGGCCCTATGAGCTCTATCAAGTATCACTGGGTTGTCTGTGTCTCGGCCCAGTATGAGGTTGAACAGTTCCCTGAGGGTGTCTGGTAAATGCTCACGATCTGCCTCTGGGATGCCCTTGATTCTGAGGTTATTTCGTCTGCCCCTGTTGTCTAGGTCATCCAGGGATCTTTGCAGAAAGGTAAATTGGTTAGTCTGGGCTTCTATCGCTTCTTAGTTCGCCTATTTGGGCCTGTAGTGTGTCTCTGTCATCTTCCAGGACTGAGACTCTCTGTTTGGTTTGCTGGAAGTCGGCTCCTATTGCCTCAAGCTTCGTCTGAAATGTTGAATCCAGTTTATTTAGCATCATGGCTATATCGGTTTTTGAAGGTAGGGCTCTGAGCAAGCTCCTAATGTCTGCCTCTGGCTGACAAGTGGGTATTTCAGACCCCGAAGGGCTAGTTAGTGGAGATTGGTGGGACGGAGAATCCGACGCCATATTTGGGCCTTCCGACTCCCCTGGAGTTTCCGTGGTGTCTCTAAAATATCTCGTCAAAACTCCTGATTTTCCAGCAGGTGTCTTGTTGGAGGGTTGGTGCCCTGCATTAGCTCATTTTGGGTGTCCCATTTTGCTTTTTTAGTGCCCGATGGCTGTGGATTGTGCGTTCTGGTTAGGGAGCACAGTTAGTGCACGTCCATGCGGCTGGGTGGTTGGCTCTGCCCCTCCAGTTTTGTATCTTTTGTATCCCTTTCCTCTAAATGAATTGAAAATAAAGAAAATGTAATTTGAAAAAAAAAACAGATCAGGAAATAAATGATACACAGCAGAAGAGTATAAAGAAATTACCAAAACTATTCAAAAACAAATAGAAAAAACAGAGACAGAAGAAATCAAAAGAAAAAAGTATAAAAGAGATAAATATGACTATGATAATAACCAGGTGAGGTCAAACCACCAAAATAAATCCAACTATAGAGAACCACAATATAATAGACAAGGGAGTAAAAATGGAGATAGACTTAACTATGAAAACTCATATGCTAATGCAGTACGAAGAAGGATACCATCGAGGGGGAGAATTAATTCTAATAGTTTTAAATCACCTATACTACACCATAGGAACCAAAACAGGAGTTTATCCCACAGAAATCTTTCACCGGAAAAAAATAAACCAACAGAAAGAAGGCAAATAAGAGACAGAGACAGATCCCCAATCATAACTAGAAATAGGAAGGAAACTCATGAAAGACCATTACCACTGCATAATAGATTTGAAGCCCTCTCTGATCCACACAAAGAGGATTTTTTTCAGGAGGCCAGACAAAAGGGGAAATTCAAAATCACTCAGGAATCAACACACGACAGAACTATTTACCAGAGGTTGTTATCCAAAAGGTGAAGAGATATGGGATTAGAGGAAAGAGAGAGGGCAAGAAAGTAAAAGAGAAACAGAAAAACAAAATAAGAAATAACTCACCTACCATCTTTAACCTGACCACTACTCATTTAAGTAACATAGAACAGAAAGTATTGAATAAAGGTCTCAAGTTTGTTCCTACCAAACCATTGGACAAATTTGAGGTCTTTATGGACCTTAATAGGTTTAAACGGCAGTTGTGCCTAAAAAAAGTTTTATGAAAACAGACAAACATCTACTTCAAAAGAAATAAAAAACCCATGAGTCTCAACAAACAAGAATGGTTAATTCTAAAAAAACAGCAAAAAGATAATAGTAAAATAACAAAACCAGTGGATAGGGGTGGAGGGATAGTGGTAATGGACACCACAAGATATATCCAGGAAGGTTTAAGATTAGTAAGTGACTCGAACACATACTGTAAATTATCTAGGAACCCAACGAAAGATATAAGCAAGAAATTAGAAAAATGACTTCTAAAGGGCAGCGTACTAAATGAAAACGAGTTCAAATATTTGAATATTAACAGGCCAAAAATCCCAGTACTATATCATCTTCCTAAAATACATAAAGATTTAATTAACCCCCTGGTAGACTGATGGTCTCGGGGATCGATTTAGTCTCGAGTAGATTGTCTGAGTACCTGGACGGCTGTCTTCAACCGACAGTAAAAAGCACACCAAGCTACCTGAAGGATACGCTTAATGTAATTCAAGTTTTAAATAATATAAAGTGGGAACCACATTTTATTTTAGTTACCGCTGATGTGGGGTCACTATACACCATCATCTCCCACCAAAAAGGTTTAGAGGCTGTACAATTCTTCCTAAGACAAGCCCAAACTTACCCTGAGGAGCAGATTAATTTTATTCTTCAAGGGATACAACTTATCCTACGCCAGTCTTTTTATGGCATTTTGGGAACAGAATTTCATTTTGGAAGATGCGGGCTGGAGTGCGAACCTTGTCACCTACAAGCGGTACATTGATGACATCATTTGGAGAGGAACGGTGAGGAACGGTAGACGAGTTAAAAGATTTTCTCTGTTTTCTCAATAACAATCAGTGGGGAATAGTACTTACCACAGACTACAGTAAAGAAAAGGTGAACTCTTTGGATTTTACCATATATGTGGACAATAATGCTCTAAAAACAAAAACTTATTTTAAGACAGTAGATGTCAACAATTACATTAATTTAAACAGTTGCCATTTTTCCCCTTGGTTGAAGAATATCCCGAGATCACAATTTTTAAGGGTCCGGAGGAACTGTACTGATGTAGATATTTTTTAAAGTTCAAGCTAAAAAAATTAAAGAGCAATTTGTAGAAAAGGGCTATGAGAACTTGATTCTACAGAATACCCTAAGGCAGGTGGAAGAAATAGACCGAAAATCCCTTCTTGAGTATAGACCTAAAAAAGAAAGAGATCCAAAAGAGACTTCCTTTATTTGTGATTTTAATCAAGACAGCAAATATATTAGGAAAACTGTAAAAAAACATTGGCCTATTTAAAAAAATGATCCGATGTTACATAGCATACTACCGGATCAATCAAAAATCATACACAGGGGTGCACCAAATTTAAAACATTTTTTAACAAATAACCATATAAGAGAAAAAAAGTCAACCCCTTTCTTTCAAAAACAGGGTTTCTTTGGATGTGGACAATGCTTAGCTTGTTGAAGCACTAACAGTAAGAAAATACATGTTACATCCTTTGAAGACCCTCAAAATAAAAAGGAGTATAATTTGAATTCTATGACCACATGTTTTTCTAAAAGAGTCATCTATATCCTACAATGTCCATGCAATTTGTACTATGTAGGGAGAACAACGTGCCCCTTACATATATGCATTAATGAACATGTGAGAAACATTAAAAAAAGGGTATGAAAAGCATAATGTGTCCCTTCATTTTAAATTGCTACGTGGTCTTTTACATTTCTTTGCAATTCAGAAAGTGGAGAAAAATTGGAGAGGAGAGGACGAAATAAAAAAACTTGGAAAATCAGAAATTAGATTAATTTTTAACCTCAACACCCTCGCCCCTTTTGGTTTAAATGTTGACTTTGAGTTGTGCCATTTTTTATAATAGTCTATGTTTTATGTTATAT